CCAAATCAGGAAAAGAGTACATCAAGGCTGTATATTGTCATTGTGCTTATTTAACTTATATGCAGAGCACATCATGAGAAACGCTGGGGTGAATGAAGCACAAGCTGCAATCAAGATTGCTCGGAGAAATATCAATAACCTCAGATACGCAGAGGACACCACCCTTATGGCAGAAAGTGAAGAAGAACTAAAGAGCCTCTTGATGAAAGTGAAAGAGGAGAGTGAAAAAGTTGGCTTAAAGCTCAACATTCAGAAAACTAAGATCATGGCATCTGGTCTCATCAGTTAGTGGCAAATAGATGGGGAAACAATGGGAACAGTGACTGACTTTATTTTTGGGGGCTCCAAAATCACTGCAGACGGTGACTGCAGCCATGAAATTAAAAGACGCTTGTTCCTTGGAAGAAAAGCTATGACCAACCTAGATAGCATATTAAAAAGCAGAGACATTACTTTGCCAACAAAGGTCCATCTTGTCAAAGCTATAGTTTTTCCAGTGGTCATGTATGGATGTGAGAGTTGGAGTATAAACAAAGCTGAGCGCCGAAGAATTGATGCTTTTGAACTGTGGTGTTGGAGAAGACTCTTGAGAGTCCCTTGGACTGCAAGGAGATCAAACCAACTAGTCCTGAAGGAAATCAGTCCTGAATGCTCATTGGAAGGACTGATGCTGAAGCTGAAACTCCAATACTTTGGCCACCTGATGCGAAGAGCCAACTCATTGGAAAAGACCTGATACTGGGAAAGATTGAAGGCAGGAGGAGAAGGGGATGACAGAGGATGAGATGGTTGGATGGCATCCCCAACTCAATGGACATGAGTTTGAGTAAGCGCCGGGTGTTGGTGATGGACAGGGAAGCTTGGCATGCTGCAGTCCATGGGGTTGCAAAGAGTCAGACACAACTGAGCAACTGAAATGAACTGAACTGAATGCAGATCTCTCACTTTATGTTTTTTTGCTAATGACATTACTTAATTTTATTAGCCTTAAAGAGCCTTCATTCAGAGGCTCTTTTATTTCTCTTCTCTTTCTGCCATTAGGGTGGTGTCATCTGCATATCTGAGGTTATTGATATTTCTCCCAACAATCTTGATTCCAGCTTGTGCTTCATCCAGCCCAGCATTTCACATGAAACTGTAATTAGTTTTTCATCAACCTAATATATGCATACAAAGACTTGTACTCAAGTTTTCACAGCACCTATAGTTATAATAGACAAAAACTGAAAATGATCCAAACAGGTGAAAGGATGAAAAATTGATACCTACAATAACCCATGAATGAATCTGAAAATTCATGTCTGAAAGAAACCAGACCCAAAAAGGTATGATTCCATTTATATAAAATTCTAGAAAATGCAAACTAACATACATTTACAGAAAAAAAATCAATAATTGTTTGAGTAGGGGAGGTTGAGGAGGGGTGGGAAAGAGAAAATTATAAAGGGACACAAGGAAGCTTTTGGGGGTGATGGACAAATTCACTATCTTGATTGTAGTGATGACTTCAAAACATTAAATACGTTTCAAAAGTTATCAAATTGTATAATTTTGCCATGTCAATTACAACCAATAAAGCTGTTTTAAGAACTTAAAGGATATTTTGAAAATTTGGGTTTATTGGATGCTAGTAAGCATATAACATTATTGGTAGAGAAAGTATACAGTATCCTCATTCATTCATTGTGGCTTCATATCTCTTGGGTGCCATTTGGGTGCTAGACACCAGGTGTCCAATGGTGAACAGGTCAAAGGCTCTTCAAAATGAATTTATGCTCCTGTTGCTCACAAATGCTTTGGTTTGACTAACAGATATGTCAGTCACTAGTATCCAGGTTCTGTTAAAGGAGTAGGATCATGTTTTGCTGAAGTTCAATGGTGAAGAACGAACTCAAATAGTTTTGAGAGATGACCCCATCATAGAAGCTGAGTGGGAAGGCTCTGCTACCTTCCTGATCTCATTTCTGTGCTCACTTGAGAAAACCACCTCTCCACGGATTGGAGAAGCTAAGTGTATTTTAAATGAGATTCAGGGTTGGGAGAAATAAGCAAGCTTGTTCTTTTGTGAACTTTCTGGGACTTGCTGTCCCTTTAAAAAATAATTTTACTCAGAACTTCTCTGATGGTCCAGTGGCTAAGACTCCAAACTCCCAATGCAGGTGGCCCAGGGTTTTATCCTTGGTCAAGGAACTAGATCCTGCATGCTACAACTGAAGATACTGCACGCAGCAACTAAAACACAGAGCAGCCAAATAAGCAAATAAATACTAAAAAAAATTTTTTTACTCATCACCTTTTCCTTTTTATAAAGACAAATTCAAATGATTCATTCAAGCTAATGAATAAGGTATAGAAATCTGTTATTTATTTATTTGGTATTTGTGACTCTGTTCTCTAAAGAAAGGGTAAAATAGTCATCAGAAAGCACATCATTTTACATTTATCTATCAGAAAATAGATCTTTTGACAGGAGTAAATCAATCCACAATTTGTAGCATTTTAATATTCCCTGTATGTTACAGAACTATAAGATTTTTTGGGAGCTAAAGAACAACCAAATTAATAATAAAAACTCAAAGAAAATACAAAGAAATATTTAAAATTTTAAAAGACCCAAGTGGGTGAAGGATACAAATGAAATCACTGACTTGCTCTTTATTCACTTCTTCCTTTCTTGCCTGAGCCATCATCTCAGAAAGCACTCATTCCCAAGGCCAGTAACACTTTTTGGCTTGGAGTAAATTGACCTCTGGGACCCCAGCCTTTCCTGGTTTCCCCAATTTGTGACACTAATCCAGCCACTCTTGCTCAATGTTCCTCCACTCTGTCAGATCTAGAAATCCGGGGGTGCCCTACAGCTCAGCTTGGCCCTCTGTAAATAATCTCTCCCCATCACTAGTCACTCAGCTTTCAAAATCCTTATTGCTGATGACCACACAGCTTTATCTCCAACCCAGATATCTGTCCCAAGGTCTACTCCCATACCCACAATCCATGCCACTTCCCCAAATTGCCTACCTCTCCCATCTCTCATGCCCTCTCTCATCACTACTGGTCTGGACACTCCAGTGGTTCCCATATGGTCTCCTCATGCTCACTCTGTTTCCACTAGTAGCTAAAAGGATCCTTCAGTGTTTTAGATTATGCCATTCTTTTGTTCAAAATCCCCAACTAGCGATGGGTCGATCAAACTATGAATAAATCCATTGCCTGCCCCCACTTGCCTCTCCACCCGCCACTCAGAGTAGGGCTCCATTTCTCAGTCTAGCTAGTCTCCCAGCTGCTCCTCACACATCCATGGTGCCATGTCCAGCCTTTCTGCCTGGAAAATCTTTCCCTCGGAAGTGCCCATTGCTTGACCATCATTCAGTCCTCTCCTCAGAAGTCAGTTTCTCCAAGATGTATTTGCAAACCACCCCGAATCGAGAGCCACCTTCTCCCTCAACCCTCTGCCACTGCCCCTGCTCCTGCCCTATCTTCCTTGTCTTCTTTCCTCAGAGCACTTGCCAGTACCGTGAGATTATATTGTAGAGTTATTATGCCTGTTTTTGCTGCCCTCAAGACTAGTCTAATGGGCCAAACAACACATCTAAACACACACTAGGCAAGCAATTCATGATGACAAAGGATTGCAGGCAAATCTACTTACCAGTTAAATTAAGCTAAGCTAACCTAAACTAAGTGAGCTAAGTGAAGTCGCTCAGTTGTGTCCAACTCTTGTGACCCCATGGTCTGTAGCCTGCCAGGCTCCTCTGTCCATGGGATTTACCAGCTAAATTGGTAATTTAAAAATATGATTTTGGAAATGGTGATTCTTGACGAATCTTCAGCTGGTGGAGAGTCACATTATTTCAAACCTTGTGTGTAATGTTAGCACATTGTTTTATATTGTACTATTGTGAGCCACAGTGACATATATGAGACCTATAGAAGCATATATCAATAGAATGGAAGAATCTCTTCATCCTATGGAAGATGAATTGGTTAAGTGCTTACTATATGCTGGTCTGGTGTTAGGCACTATATATCCATCATCTCATTTAGTTCTCTTCAGCACCCATGATCTCCTTTTCTCAAGGCAGGAATCCAAGATGCAGGACTATTCAGATATAAGAGCCACAGGTACACCTAGGGTCTGCCTGACCTCACTATCCGAGCGCCTCTACAGTGTTTCCCCTACACGCTTTCTCCCCTGAGGGAAGACCTGATTGCAGAGGTGATACAGAGCTGAGGTTCACAGGATGAGCTGCAGGACAGGCCGACCAGGCAGGGAAAGGGCCCTGTAGGTCATGGACAGTCCAGAGTAAGAGACCTTGACTTTTTCTAGCAAAATCACAATGGATGGTTTGTGATTTCATTCCCTTCCAAATATTCAGGTAACTCCTTCCATTTGGGTATTCTTTTAGTAAGGATGTACATTTGATTGTAATAGAAACTCACAAGCTGTAGCTTTTTTAAAAAATTAGAGATACTATTTTTTTTTTAATTTAATGAAATGCCCATAGGTAGGAAGTCAAGAATGCCAACTTAGTGGCCCCATGATGCTCCGCCCTCTTCTCTCAGCTTTGCCGTGTGTGCTCCTGTCAGCACGAGGTTACCAGGAGCCCACTCCACGGGGCATTGACCCCAGGTCCTGGCAGGAGAAAGGGGAAGGATCAAGACTTGTCCCAGAAGCATCTGTCTACTTTTAGGCAGCTTTCCCAGAAGCCGCACCCAATAACTCAGACTTCTGCTTCTGTTGCATGCCTGGTCACCCCAACTACAAGGAAAGCAGGAAATGAATGTAAGTATTTTTAGCTGCCCACACATCACTGGCTGGAAGAATCAGGGTTCTTTGGTAGGAAAGAGTTGAAAAAAGGGTAGTAGGCTAGCAGCTAGCAGTGGGCACCACCCCTAAGGAGTTCTTGGTTCAGTGGAGGAAAGAGGCAATGCCATCAACCAGGTGCCCAGGCCTGAATGCTAAAGGTCTTACCTAAGAAATGTTCATGCTGCCTCCACAGGACGTGAAGAAGCTCATCAGAGACCTCTCTACCAGCACCGCTGACACGCTGGCCATGATCGACGCCATTGGAGACAGCCTGCTCAGTCGCATCAAACGTCGGATTGCCACCTTGAAAAAGCAACTGGAGAGTGAGCAGTGCTCCAAGCTGGAGAAGTTACAGCTGGTTGCCCGGGAACTTGAAGCCCCCCTAAAGCTTTACCAGCAGATGAAGATGCTCCTGCAGCATCATGCTAACGCAGTGCAATTTCTCCGCGAGTATAAAAGGCTCAAGGGGGAGATGGAGAGACTCTTGGAGGGCACCCTGTCCCCCCCAGTCCCCACCAAGGACACTATTTCCATCAGGCGCTATTTTCAAGAGCTCATTAGAGGAATAGACATCACTGCCTTTACCCTGCCTGAAACTGACCAAGTGCCGGCCAGCATGGCTGGGCTCCAAGAGGCCTGGCAGGCAGGCTGTGCCATTCAGGGAGGTCTGTCGCAACAAGTGCTTGAGGATACTTCGTGCAAGGCAGTGTCGGGCTCAGTGCCAAAACCAAATCAAGAGGCAGAGCTTCCTAGGAACCCATCTCATGCTTACTCTCCTTTCTCCACTAGCATGTCCTCAGTACAAGGAAGTGAGATTGGGTCTAGAGAATCAACCGTGTAAGGTATTATTTTGGTCTCAAAATGTCAACAACTTTTATCATTTTGTCTGTAACTTGAAAGTTGCTAGACTTTGCTTCTTAAAAAGAAAATTAAAAAATTCTACATTGTGGTTTCTCTTTTGATTTTGGTCTTGTGTTGATCATCCAAAGCCTTTTTTTCTTTCTTTCTTTTTTAATGGAAATCTGCTTTAAAAACAACTTGCTGGAAGCTTACATAGGAGGGTTTGAATCGCGGGGGCTGCTGGCTTGGCAGTCGGGGTGGGTGGTGCAGGAGGTGAGTTCTTGGCACAACTGAACAGAACAGCTTTGTGTTCTGATGACTTAGCGTGCACTTTTAGCTCAATTGAGCCTCAGATAGTAGAAAGCACAATAGCAATGACTCCCCCAGAAATGAAACCTTTGGCCAGCTCTGGACTGTGGCTTTTGTTGTTTTTCCATCACAATAAATACAATTTGTTGAATGCTTAGGACACAAACACTACTAGCCATTCTTACGTTAATGAGCTAATTTCATTCTCAAAACAACTGAAAACGATGGGTTTCCTGGGTAGCTCAACTGGTAAAGAATAGGTCTGCAATTCAGGAGACCCTGGTTTGATTCCTGGTTCGGGAAGATCCCCTGGAGAAGGGATAGGTTACCCTCTCCAGTATTCTTGGGCTTAACCTGGTGGCTCAGTCGGTAAAGAATCCGCCTGCAATGTGGGAGACATGGATTCAATTCCTGGGTCAAGGCAGCGAGGACACAAATTCAGATAACCACAGGAGCCAGGCTTGTAACAAAACAAAGCAGGCTGAAGGTGGGGGGAAGGGTGGGGCCTGTGACAAATAGCAGATCCCACTTTGTGCATAAAGAAAACATTGTCCTGTTGAAATGCAGGCTGAGTGTAGCCAGAGATTGCAGTTTTTTTGAGAAGAGCAAGAAATTTAGACCTTTTAGCATTAAATATCTTGATTATTTTGAAAGCTGTCAGCTAATTAAAAATGGATTTAAAACATTGCAGGGGCATCACAAAGCACTTCTGTGAACTAGATGTGACTTCCAGGCCATCACCAGTTTGCAACCTCTGGCTAGAGGGAACACTAAAACAACAATATAATGGCCCACTTCACCCTAGGGATGCTGGGGGTGTAGGCCAAACCTGGGGCCTCCCTCCTTCCACTGTGACCCTTAGGCAGCAATTCTGGCACTTACATAAGAAAACAGGAGGCCTTTGGAGCCATCGACAGTTAGAGTCGGTGAGATCTCCAGAGGCACTGACCAGACATCAATCTCCAAATCAACAAGTCCCCCATTCAGTTCAGTGGCTCAGTTGTGTCTGACTCTTTGCAACCCCATGGACTGCAGCATGCCAGGCTTCCCTGTCCATCACCAACACCCGGTGCTTACTCAAACCCATGTCCATTGAGTTGGGGATGCCATCCAACCATCTCATTCTCTGTCATCCCCTTCTCCTCCTGCCTTCAATCTTTCCCAGTGTCAGGTCTTTTCCAATGAGTCAGTTTTTCACATCAGGTGGTCAAAGTATTGAAGCTTCAGCTTCAGCATCAGTCCTTCCAATGAGCATTCAGGACTGATTTCCTTTAGTATTGGTTGGTTTGTTCTCCGTGTGGTCCAAGGACTCTCAAGAGTCTTCTCCAACACCACAGTTCAAAAGGTCATGTCCCCCAGGCTCCAAGCTAAAACCTGGGCCCACTGAGATTAAGAGCAAAATTAAAGATAAGGAAATCTGCTGTAAAAAGCAGGGAAACCAAAAGGCAAGTTGAGTATCTGGGCCCAGCATGCTGAGTGAGGGGTCAAAGGAAGCAGCTGCACACAGCGCCAGTCTCACCTGGGGAAGGGTGGTGATGTTGGGCAGGGTCAGAGAGTGTTGCCTGGAATGTGTTTGCTTTACTTCAGTAGTTTTAGTGGCAGGTAAACAAAGGTGGGGGCTTTCCTGGTGGCTCAGATGGTAAAGAATCTGCCTGCAATGTGGGAGATCCAGGTTCCATCTCTGGGTCAGGAAGATCCCCCTGGAGAAGGGAATGGCTATCCACTGTAGTATTCTTGCCTGGAGAATTCCATGGACAGAGGAGCCTGGTGGGCTTCATGGGGTTGTAAAGAGTCAGATATGACTGAGCCACTAACATACACATACACACACACAGACACACAGACACACAGACACACACAGACACACACACACACACACACACACACACACACACACACACAAAGGTGGAGGGAGGACTCTGTCCTGAGGTTGCCTCCACAGCAACTTTTGCAGACAAGAAGTGGGATCTGAGATGGCAAGGTCTCTGGTCGTTTGGGGTTGGCTACTCCAGGAATTCCAGCCATGGAAGTCTGTGGGTCTTCTCAGGACTCCAAACCTCCTCCTTTTCCTGGCCCATCTGGCTGCTGCTCCCTCTGCTTTTCATATGCTCTACTGGTTAAGGCTCTCACTTCCTGACTCCTGCTGGTAAAGTTTCTACCCTTTGAGCTCAGCCCCTACTGTGAACTGCCCTAGTCTTTGCTTGTAACTCTACACTTCAAGAGATAATAGAGCATCTACTGTGTGTATAGGGCCCTGTTCTAGAACACGGGGACACAGCTGTGAATATTCAGACAAGCTTCTTGCTCTCTTGTGGGGAGAACAAGAAAACAAGCAAGATGGGCTCAGAGTGGGCTAAAATGCCGACTGTGTTATAAAACAGAGTTATGAAAGAGTGATCGTAGGAGTTAGCCTGGGTGGTCAGGAAAGATCGCTTTGAGCAGGCCATGTTTGAGTGCCATCTGGATGACCACAACTGGCTAGGTGAGGATAAGGATGAGCATTGCAGGAGGCCTGAGCAGCAGTAGGTGCTTGACCCCCACAAGCATTGGGAGTGGAAAGGGAGGTTGAGACCAGGCTGAGGGTAGGGTGGAGTATGGGGACAAGCTTTAATTTGAACCTAAGACTTATGACAGGGTGATCTGCATTGCCAACAAGGTCATCCCCTTGGTGTGAAAGTGAAAGTCACTCAGTAATGTCCGACTCTTTGTGACTCCATGGACTGTCCATGAAATTCTCCAAGCCAGAATACTGGAGTGGGTAACCTTTCCCTTCTCCAGGGGACCTTCCCAACCCAGGGATCGAACCCAGGTCTCCCGAATTGCAGGCAGATTCTTTACCAGCTGAGCTGTAGAGGAAGCCCAAGAATACTGGAGTGGTCCCAAGCAAGGATTCAAATGCAACTCGTGCCACCCTTTCTCACAGTAATTATGAAGACAACCAGCTTCTGTTCATCATTCAGCAGTTCCAAATCATACCCTACTATGATTTAATTGAACACACAGTCTCTGTCCAAGGGTGCCCCTGGGACACAGGAGCTGGGCCTTTCATCCAAGTTTGCTCTATTCCAAAAACTTCATGTTCTTCCCACAATATGCCCTCTCCATCTCCTAAGAATCCATACACACAATGAAAGCACACTGCATGTGTTTGCCCAGCTGGTCAGGCCGGCTTCCTATGAAAGTTTCTCCAAACTTTAGGGGCTTAAATAAGTCACATCTCTTTCAAATTCAAGCTTAAGTGGAGAGCAGCCTATAACATCAGCAGGGGGCCGGGATTTGCTTCATGAGGTTCTCCACTATATTCCATTCTACTCAGGCAGCTGGAAATCAGAAAAGGGGAGAAAAAGAGCAAGTCCCTCCTTTAGAGGGCAGAAGCCAGAAACTTTCTTCACATCTCAAGCCAGCACTAAGTCAGATGGTTACATCTTAGGGCACTCTAGTTCTGTTGTCACCTAAGAACCTGGCTTCTGCTTAATACAGACAAAGGAGACAAGGGTTATAGGGGAACAACTGAATGTCTCTGGATAGCTTTTATACTTTTTTCCTGATTATGAGAGCAATTCATACTTACTGCCAAGAAGGGTGTAAAGACAATAAAGGTTGCAAGTAATCCCAGAGGTAACTGTTGTTTAAAATTCATGGGGTCATATCATACACCTTATTTCTCTCATAACAATGTAACTCTCATAGTCTTCCTATATCGATAAATTTAAGTTTACATCACCATCATATATATTCATGGCATGCTTAAGAGATGACCTATGATGACCTGGGAGACAACTTGATTTGTATTTATTTGATAGCTAATAAGATTGACAGTTGAATTGACAGTTTATATCCTTTGTTTATATTTTAATGGGTCATTCACTTTTAACTACTGATTTTTAAAAAATCCACTTTATATTTTAAAGATTAACATTAACAAACACTTATATAATGCTTTTATTATCTAGCATTGTTCTAAAAACGTGTAAAGTTTACTCATTTAATCCTTAGAACACTATAAGGTAACTGATGTTGTCATCCCCAATTTACAGATGAGAACCTGAGACAGAATAAGTGATTTGGTAAATCCATAGCTGTCTAGTTGTGAAGAGGTAGAATCAGGGTTCAAAGTTAGCAGCCTGGTTTCAGGTCCCTGCTCCTGACCACTAGACACTCTAGTTAATGTTTGTTTGCTACGTATTATACAAAATTGTTTTTCCAATTTGTCACTTGTCTTTTAACTTTAAAGGTTTTTTTTTAATTGGGTTTTTACTCATATGGACAAATCTATTAATTTCTTTCTTTATAGAGTTCAGTATTGTGTGATTGGCCTTCAAGGGTAGAAAATGAAGCACGGATTGGAAAGAAGAGGGTAATATAATTCATATACACTTTTTCAAACTTACTAACCACTTGTAGGTGAACATGTGAAGAAAACGTCAGAAAAGTTCGTAGTGCTGTGGAGTCGCTGTTGTGTAGTTGAAGACCCCATCACCTCTCATCTCAAAACTGAACAACATCCTGACCTGTTTTCTTTCTGCATTTTCCTCCCATCTCAGCCTACATCACTGATACTGGTTCCATTCGACATAATTTTTTACACTCCGACTGCCACACTCCTACTGTGCTAGGTACTGGGGACAAACACGGATGAGGACTCCATCTCTCCACAGCGTAACTCCAGCCAGCTCAATGGGCCTATGCTCTTCTTTCTGAATACATTTTCTTTCTGTAAGTCCTAAATCATACTCATCTTTCAGCTCAAAGTTCAAGTTTCCCCTCCTCATTTCTTGTTCATTTCAGCCCACAAAATTAACTAAGTAACCCCTTTGGCATTTTTTGCATGTACTAAGACGAATGCTAGCATAGTGCCATCTGAGATCATAAACACAGACGCACCAGGTGAATTTTTAGTTCTGTTAAAAACAGTTCTGTTATCCAAGAGAATGCGTTTTCTCTTTTTTTAGTATCTTGTGCACAAACTAACAGTGAGTTAAGAGAAACAGTGAGGTCCAGGTGGTGGACTCTCAGCCATAAAGAGATCTGAAAGGGTACTCAACCAGTGCTTTCCGGAGTTTGGAAAGTTATAATCGGCATGGAGGAACCATGTTTTAAGCTATTATTAAGTTAGGATAATTATGGATTACTTTGAAACAACAAGAATCTTCAACACCTGGGGCAACCGGCTGATACGACTGCTTCACCTATTAGCGGGTAAACTGAGGCAAAGCGGGCCGGTCTAAGCCCTTGGGGGAAGGCGCGGAGCGGGTGACGGCGAGCGGGACCGTCCTTTGTGAGGCTTGCGGTACACTGTCCTAAAGCCTGAGCGAGGCACACCGCAGGCCGGCGCGATTTCGAAGGCCACGTGACGGCGCCGGTCCTTCCCGAGCGGAGGGCAGGATTCTGCGCCACCACTCTCCCAGCCGTCCAATAAGAAACGGGGAGCGGCAAAGTGGGCGTGTCCTACCCGCCCCTCCACCAAAGGCCGCCCAGTGCGGGGCGGGCCCAGATGCCGCCTCCAGTGGGGTCCGGCCAGCCCAACTCGGCTGAGGCAAAAGGGCGACACACACGTCAGTCAAACGGTCCCGCCAATGAGTTCGTGCGCTGCTCTTGAGCCCGCCCATGCCTCGGCCTCCCGGTGCCCGCGCTGCCTTCCCTCTGGCTGCTGCGGCCCGCCCGCCCGCGCCTCCTCCATCCGGGTCCTCGTGTGCAGCTCTCGGGTGGCGGCGGGCGGCGGGCGCGAGGGCTGGGCTGTCCCCGCGGAGGGCAGCGGTAGGCGGCGGCCTCCTCCGCAAGCCTGAGGTGGGTACAGAGGCGGGACGGCGAGCGCGGGGCCGCCATTTTCCTTCTCTCGGACCTCCCCGGCGGCGGTGGGAAAACGGGAGTGTTGCGAGCCGGTTGGTGGAGGCCTGAAAGGCTGCAGCGAGCTGGGCGGGCGGGTTGAGAGCAGAGGCCGCAATAGGTGGTGGTGCGGGTGGGGGATGGGCGCCGCGTGGCGTGGTCGGTCCCAACCCCCTCCGCTTCCCGCCCAGCGCCTCACGGACGGGGGGGAGGGGTCATTCTTCACATTCTTCACCCCGCCCTTCCCCCAACTTCAATCAAACTTGGGGGGGGAAGTCCCGCCCCCGCGCCTTGCCCATTGGCCAGCGTCCCCTCCCGCTATGGCGTGACTGGCTGTGGACACCGCCAGGTCCCCTGACGTCACTTCCGCTATCAGGTTTGTGGGCAGGGGAGACCTTGGCCTTGGGGGCTGGGATGCTAGAGGGAAGGTAGGAAGTGCGGGGGAGGACCGGGACAAGCGGGCGGGCAGGCCCTGGGCTACCTCCCTGCTGCTAATCCGCTGGCCGAGCTCAGCCTCCGGTCCTGGAGCAGCTGTGTAGCCGGTCCGCCCCGGCGGCCGTCCTTGGCAGTGGAGAGGGCGGGCGGGAGGAAGTGGGATCCCGGGGGCACGGGCTCGTGCATGGCGACCTGGGCCCCGGCCAGCGGCCCCAGCCCTGACTTGGGGGCTGCCCACCCTGGAAGCAGGTTAGCTGATACATGTTCCGGGAGGATTCCGGTGTGAGGAATGCGTAACCTTTATGTCCTTGGCTAGCAATGGCCTTCAATCTTTCCAACTTTTACAGTACGGCCTGGCCCCCCTGCCTCTGTGTCAGAGGTCAACTCTAAAGCTTTTTAAAATAGACGATTCGATTTTGAGAGGGCTGGCAAATGGGAAGAGGCAGTCGGGATAGTGAGTGTTGAATTCTTTAAATCAGAAGACTGGATGAGTTTTTTTTTTTTTTGTAACTTTACTGATGATTATTTTCTTGGCATCCAGTTGCTAGAGTAAAAACCTCATTTAGCAGTCCTCATTCATTTCTGATGGCTGGAAAATCATGCACTAGTTTAAAATAACGTTAAATTTTAAATTGAAACGTTGTACAGAAAATGTAATAATTGTCCTTTGTCCAAGTTTTTCTGCTGTAATGTTTTGTAAGTTACTTCGGCGGTTTTTTGAGGGTGTTTGATATACTATACCCAGTTAACGTTGTATTGTGAAACTTGTGAACTTTAAGAGTGGAGCGATTAGCATTAACTAGAATTTCTTGGTTTAGAGTACAACACACTATAGATATTTGTGTGCTTTTTCTTTCAACAGCTAATATAATAATAGATTTGTTTGTAGTGGAAATTGATCAGAATGAAGAATCTTAAACCAGGTTCTTCAGACTGTAGGTCCTGACTTACTGGGTGACGTGATGAAATCACGTCAGTGGGTGGTGGTGGTCAGAATTTTTTTAAAAACAAAATAGTATCAATAGTTTGTTATATGAAACTGATGATTCTGTTGTGTAATGTTTATTCCTTCAAAAATACTTCTCTGAGGATGAGTATCAAAAAAGTTTGGAGAACATTTCTTCTAATGGGTGTTTTTTTTTTCTTTTTCTTTTCATTTATATCGCTGGTCTTCAAGGAGTACTAAAAGTGGCCCTGATTATTTATACTTGGTGCAACATGTTCCTTTCACTTTTGTTTTCAGGAGCTAGCAATCAGTGGCCAGCATGCATTTTAATCACTTAATGTTTTTAAGTCTGGAGAAGCTTTTGTTTAAATAGTAAAGGCTCTTCCCCCCCAGAATATTAACTGATGAATGATTTTTCCGTGTACATGCCCAGGTGGCGCTAGTGGTAAAGAATCTGCCTGCCAATGCAGGAGACAGTAAGAGACAGGGTTCGATGCCTGGGTCTGAAAGATCCCCTGGAGTAGGGCATGGCAACCCACTCCAGTGTTCTTGCCTGGAGAACCCACGGACTGAGGAGGCTGGTGGGCTCATTGGGTCGCAGAGAAGCAGACACGACTGAAGCGACTTGGCATAGCACAGGATGAGGGTAGAAGAATCTGGATCCCCAACGATTTGTCAGCATCGCCCTCATGTGACCTCGGGTGGCGTAAAGAAGGCTCGGTCACTGCATGATCTTTGACTGGGTGTTCTAAACATTGCACAGTCACTTAGGATAGAAAGAGAGCCGCTGCTTTTTTTTTTCTTTTTGCTTTATATTAAGTCTTTGAAATCTAGAGTGTCTTTTATGGTAACAGCACATTTCATTTGGAGCTAGTCACATTTCTAGTGCTCAAGAGTGACATGTGGCTAATGACTACCAAATGGATAGTGGATTGCTTAGCCGCTCTTCAAAAATTAGCTTTCTCTGGCTAAGTGTTTGTGTTTCAGATTATCAGCTGAAAATGTCCCCTCTGTCTATGGCCTCATCTCAAATGTGAAGCATTTGCATCAGTTGATTTCTTGGGCTCTTTCTAGGTATAAGATTTAAGGACTCAGGCAGCTGACAACTATGCTTTCATCAAGTATTACTTTTGCTTTTCTAGGAATGTTTTAATAGATTTTGGATGATTTGTTTTAAAATAATAGATATTAATGATGATCTTTTAATCTTCCTTTTCTGCTTTGTGCCAGTATTCATTATCATGAAGTTATACTACTTGTTCACTTGGCGGTCTCCTCCCTTCTCCCCAGTTTTTTAGTCAGTTATAGAATATTTTTATTGCACATTGTAGACTAAGGATACAGTTGATTATAGTAAACTGGGGAATCTGGATTTAATGACAAGCACCCACCTTTTCTTGACTTTGGGGATTGTGTAAATTACAGTGACTTTTCAACCTGGGTACATAGCAGCATAATGAAGGATAGGAAGGTTGCATATGACAGGATTGAGAAATAATGGTGTATATATAAGGACCACTAAGCAAAACAAGTCACCCAAGTGGAGTACTCTGCTTTACCCTAAATATTTGTGTGCATTATAGGGTATATAGCAGAATATAGGGAGGGAGCTTAGAATGCACTTAACAGCAGGGATGTTGGCCCCAGAGTAACAGTTTGCATTGCAGAATCTTCAAGGGAACATTGAAGTTAAATTGACATTTTTTTAAATTTCAGAATTTAGATAATTTCATCTAATCTAGAATGCCTTATGTTGTATGTCTAAATGAATGAAAGGAAATGGTCCTTTTGGAAAAGATGACCTAGTACTTAGCTTTTAAAACTTAACATGAGTCTCAGGCTTAGTGCAGTATTTGGTAGGATAACAAGTTTAGTGGATGTAGCTAGATTTACTGTGGTGATCCTTTCACAGTATACAATAATGAATTACATTGTACACCTGCAACTAATACAATAGTATATGTCAATTATACCTCCATTAAAAAAAAATTTCAACCCCTCCCAAAGAAGAAATTAAGATCTTAGATTAAAAGTAGGTTAATTTTGTTAGCAAAACTTAGTTATAGCCAAAAACTTAATCTTGTCAATTTCACATGTCAACTTAACCTTGATGGAGCAATTCATGGCTAAAAATAATGCCTATATTCTGTCAAGGGAGTCAAAATACAATTGGAGAATTTGTATATGTATTTAGGTATTTTGTATTTGTATAATGTTTAAATATTCAGCCATCATCTTCAGATAATTTTATTAATATTCAACTGTTTGGAGGAAATTGTGTTAAGTAGCCAGTGTTCTAATTTTGATTTGTGTTTATCAAGTGAAACTTGGTGATGAGACTAAAGGAAATACTTGTATTTGTGTAAAAGTTTGATCCAAAAAAAAAAATGGAAGTTATTCACCTGTAAGATGGCATGTAAATGGAGATGGAGATATGTAAAAAGTAGAACTTCATGAGTTACTTTGTTCATAGGAGTATGTAAATATAAAAGGTGGGATATTAGATTGCTGGAAAAAACATTTTAGCTCTGAATATCGAACTGTTAATAGATATTAAGTATGTAGAAAAGATAGGGTATGCCTGTGTTTGAACTAAGTAGGAAAATTTATAAATGCAAAGGTGGTATTGATATATTTTAATTAATATGTAGCCTTTGAGTGTATATTCAAATGTGTTTTTAATGCCATGGCAGTTAACATTCTTTTGGTTATAGATTTTCTTGCAGATGTGGCAAAAGCTGTGGAATCTTGCAGAGAAATTATATATACAATTTCTGATGGTTACTGAAGCTGGTTATGGATGCAGGTTAAGAACTCAGGCTAAAGTTGACTATACAAGTATATTAAACTGTATGATGTCATACACTATGATTTACTAAGATATAAGTGGATATTAAAAGTGTTAGAAACTGATATTAAATATAAACAAGCTTTAGATAAACTTATACATAAGTAGATTGCCTTTTCACAGCATATTTTAAATTGATGCAGCATGATTTAATTGAAGATAAATGTTTTTGACTGTCCACAAGTATACCTAGGAAGGTAAAATAACTGTCTTGCTGTGTGCTGTGTTCACTTGTATCCAACTCTTTGCGACCCTTTGGACTGTAGCCCACCAGGCTCCTCTGTCCATGGTATTTTTCAGGTAAGCATATTGGCATGGGTTGCCATTTTGTCCGCCAGGGGATCCTCCCAACTTGGGGACTGTACTTGCATCTCCTGTGTTGCAGGTGGAGTCTTAGTTTTTTTAGTTTCTCAGATAGGTTTAATTTATTAAGGAAAATGGTTGCCATTTGTTGAGTATGTCAACTAAGATGTCATTAAGATGGATCACTAAGATGATTTGTATATGTTCCTAATCCTCAGAACATTTCTGTGAGGTGTGGATGTTAGATTCCACTTGGAGGTGAGAACTTAAACCTCAAGGAAGTTATTTAACTTGAAAAAGAACATAGCTGCCAAGTAGTTGCTTGACCTGTAAACTCCTTTCCTATACTGCCATGTTGCACAGAAACATTTTGTGCAAGTTGAGCTGAGACTTTCGGTCACTAGGGTATTTAATGGGGAGGGGAGAAGTTCAAGCTGCAGATTGAGGTAGTAAGTGAACAGGCTAGAAAATGCATGTGATGTTGTGTTATTGTTAGAAAAGAAAATATGTAAAAGGTCACATTCAGGTAGTTTTAGCTGATGGTCTTGTCTAAGAATGTTTTTAGAATTGTCTGATACTGATGGTTGTAGCTGAAAGTTTTTGAGTATCCACTCTGCACTTGGTATACTGTGTGGTTTTTGTATTTTATTTCTAATCCCTCTTAACATCCCTGTAACATTTGTCTGATTTTTATGAGTTGAAATAACAAAAGCCGAGAGATTATTACTTGATGTGTCTGAAGATGAGATAAATGAGAAACCGGGATTCAAACTGGATCTCTGATTCTGAAATAAGCTTTAGAGGGAAAATCTCAAGGGATGAAAACACGCTAGTCAGTTACATAACTTCTTTCTCCAGCGAAAGATTGTATAGTTGTGGTCAGTGTGTATGTTAAGAGTTTTACTTAACCTTATTTCTTAGTGAACATTTCCATGGGTTCTTACAATCCTTAAATTCTAGTTTATGGACTGTATTTTGAAAACTTTTGCTTACCTAAACATTACCTCTTCTTTGCTATTAGATTTTAGTTTCCAAAATTTGCTGTAATCAGAGTTAATCTGAAAAACTGAAGATTGAAAACCATCAGTG